GGAAGGAGCGCGCGAGCAGTAGTTTCTGCTGTCACCCCAAGGATGCGGGGAAACCTGCCTGCTGTCACAAAAACGCACACTTCCCAATCGCTCTGCTTTCTGCGTGCTCTCTTTATCATCGTAATCCTTTTCCAGCTTATTCCCACTGGCTGAAGATTTCCTCTCGATGTCAAGCATCCAAGAAAGACATAAGTGGGGGATAAAAGAAGCTGGCAAAAAACAATTAACATATCTAAGTGTCCATGTCAAAGAGAGAGAGAGCAAGAGAGTTGGGGTGCCGTGATTGCTGTGACACACACACACACTCGTACAGCAATAATAAACACACTTGTCAGAAACGTGCCCCTGCATGAAGCTGACAGCAGCATTATTGCAGCCATGCAGAATTTAATCTAAAGTGTCACACAGCAAGCCTGGACCACAGCCGAGGTACACGTTAAAGAAGCATCTGAAACCTCTGCATCCGAGTGCGCTGCGAACAATTCCAGATGTTGTGAGCGTGGGAGAGGAGATTTGTGGCGGTTATTGGCTCGTTCTGAATTTTTCTGCGGTCGCAGAACTTCATTTTCGTTTACAAACTCATCAGGACTCGAGGGATTATTAAAGAAAAATCCAACCCTAGATACGTGCAATACCTGACTTTTCAAACTCCTCAAGCCTCTGTGTGTGTGTGTAGGAGTAGAGCAGAGGGAATATGGTAGTAACTTCCTGCCTCTGTGTCGCATCTGTGCCTCAAAAATGTCTATTTTCCTGAAGAGAGGAATAATAATGTAACTAAAGCTGACAAGCTCTCCGAGCTGAATATCGGCCAAAAACATGGAAATAAATACAGCAATAATCAGCCTGTGTTTAGGCTGCGCGACCAAAGATGCCAACAATATGTTCAAGGAGAGAAGAAGTCCCAGTGAACAAACGCCAAATTCAGTCCAAACATGGAAGAGCATGGGTGCTTAAATGAATACACAAAGACTGTGCTGGTTAGCCTGCGTAACCACGAGCTGGCTGTGTTTTGATATGCTCTGAGATCTCAATTATGAGCTGCCATCTGTGTTCAGAGCAATTTTGAGATATTAGGCAATCAACTTTTTACATCCCATTGGGCAAAATCCTAAATAAGCCTAAATACACGGTCAAATAAACACTTTCCAATGCATAGCATGAACCACATGTGAAGACCTGCTGCAGGAGAACAAACTTATTCTTTTTTCCATACGTGTTAATATTCAGAGGCTGTGATGAAGTGATTGGGGAACAAAATGGGAACGTGGGGAGGAGGGATTGTTGAATCAACCAAAAGCAGAAATGAAAGACAAATACAGATCGCATTACGCTCTAAGGCTGACACGATCCCGCTGATCTCGGCTTATTGAGGAACATTTGTGTGATGCTGAACCGAACTGAACTGTGTGTGTGTCACATAATTAGCAGGCTGTAACTAAAGCCTGTGTCCACGTGTTTCACTGAGCTCAGCGGATTGGTGATAAAGCACTAATTAATGATGAAAAGGACATTGATTGACCAACAAGGCCACCTGATTAATGGCAGGATTCGATCGATGGAAATTGCAAACTTGTGAGTGTATGAGCTCACATCGATGGCGTCCGCAATCTATTGTCCAAGCTCTAACATTTAATTGTTAGTGACAAGGGATGGATGAATGATTAAGTGCAGTTGTACCCATTGTCACCTCAGCTCTGTGGGATGCAGTCATGCTTTAAGGCAGAGACGTCAAACTCGTTTTACATCGTAGGCCACACGCAGCCCGCTCAATGAAACTCCCATTTCAAAAAACATTTCTATCATTTAATGACAGAATAATCTATTAACCTAATTACTTTGGTGTAGCATGAACGGCCGTGTTCAAAGTCCTTATCAGTAAAAAGAAATGTGTAATACAATTAGAAGTCCAAAATTTATGACTCCCTTCACGTTTTCCAAAGCTGTCCAGAGGAGCTTTATTGGAGTCTCTGCTAGGCCAATTCTGGCCCCAGGACCTGATGTTTGACACCCCTGCTTTAAGTAGGATGGGTGGTGTGAGGAGGTGGCAGCTGCTCCAACGCTGCTGGCTGTGGCTAAACCAAGCCTCCTCCTTGAGCCTGGCTCTGCTGGAGGTTTCTTCCTATTAAAAGGGAGTTTTTTCTTCCACTATCGCCAAAGCGCTCGCTCATACGGGGTCGTATGATTGTTGGCACAGACAGACAGAGTGAAGGGCAGGATGGAAATGTGAGCTGTAATTTTCCTGTTATTGGGTCAAAATACGCAAAAATATTTTGTCTGCCTCACATGAGCTTTTTGTTAAATAGCAAATATGGACACATCAAAGTAAGACGGAGAGCCTGATAAATATAACAGCTATCAGCATTTCCTCACAAAGGAGAAGAGCTTCAAGTTGGCAGAAAGTTTTTTCCATTGTTAATTCAGTTTTTAATGCTCAGTGATCGTAAAATGTTCTCAAGACGTGGCTGAACCCAAAGAGTTTGAGGATTTTGTTGGCAGAAAAGTAAATAAGCTGCAAGTAAAGTCCAGTGAGTTCCACAAAAGGTCAAAGCCGAAGTATTACAACACCCAACACTGAAATTATCTGAGAAAAACTAAGTGGTTTTTCAATGAATTTATTCCTTGAATGAGAAATTATTAATATTTTTGTTATAAAACACGAAGCCGTTATTTAATTATTATTAAACCCATTTGTCTTCAAATTTGACATTTTTTAATAAAGTTAAGAATATGCTAATACCTAACAAATTCAAATAACAGCTGTGCTCACTATTACACCCCATTATTCACAGGTTAAATTACCCACATCCTGTAAGCACTGACGCAGCAGCGTGCGCCATACAAAACCGCACAACTTTATGAAGTTACTTCAAGATGAAGCTGCAGATTTGTCTGCTGGAGACGGCGTCCTTGTTTTTATCCAGCCCTTTCACACAGGAAGTAAAAGTCAGGGTGTCGTCTAATATTATTTTTAATTTAATTTGGAGTTTTGTCATTGTCTGCCTGCTTGTTACGGCTTCAGTGATGTTTGCAGGCTAAACTGGTAAATGTTTATTGGATATTTGTGGCATTTATGGGAAATTTCTTGAGGGGAAAGCGTAATTTTTCTTTTTAAACTCAGTTTATTTTGATTGTGGTTTCCTCTTCGGGGCTGTTGATACACCTGCTGTGTGTTTTTCTGATTACAGATGCTTGGTTGTGATCATTAAAAAAAATGTTCTGATGGTAAAGTCGTGGCTTCGTGTTCCTGTCGAGTCCCAGCAGAGAGAGATTGGCTTCAGGGGGGTCCGTATTTACAGTGGATACAATCTGCCCTCGGAAAAGTCTCATTTAAGCTGAAAATAGAGCTTCTGTTTACCTGAACGTTTTACTGCCTGTGCGTGATAAGACACTGGTTCGTGCTTCCCGGCTTGTGGGGCGTGATGTCTCATTTTATATATTGTCGATAGATTTCCTACACAGGTTTTTATATATGTATGCGAGTTGGCCACAGTGTCAGGTTGTCTTGAGCGAAAGACCCAAAGATCAGCTAAATTTGTGAGTCACTGCTGTCGGTGTTGAGTTAAACAGTTTGTGTGTCAGCTCAATGTCCAGTCTACAAATGGCCAGATGTCTCCACGCAGGATTTCTTGGTGCTGCGTTTGGTTGGACAAAAAGTTCAGAATCATTTTTAGGCGAGTAAAGAGTCAAAGTTTTTACCCCTTTTAATCCAGCCGAGAGCGGCGTGGCCGTTCGGCCGCCTCTCACAGCGTCTTAGCTCCCTTTCCCCTGCTTTAATGCCAATGTGTAGCCTAACACCAAACGAGACAAAGCCACGGGCCACTTTAATTAAGCACCAGGCTGTCTCGTGCTGGAGTGTTTGAACCACAACCGGCACCATTAAAAATGAATATCTCTGTTAATAAAAGTATGTTTGTTTAAAAACACAACAGTCCCGTTTTCCTCGTGTTCATTATTCCTCCCGTTCTCTGCCCCGCTTTGTGCTCAACAACAGTGAGTAAGTGGCTCCCACTGTCTATTAATGATATCCATTTATTTTCTCTTAGAAAGGATTTATTTTGCTGTCCTTGTGGAGACATTCCTCCCTCTGCTACTACTGGAGCTGTAATTTAACAACTATTACGAGTGTTTGTCTAAGGCCCCAAATGTTCAAGTATGCTTTAGGCCACGATGCTCTCTCCTCTAACACCCTCTTTTTTGCCTTCATCTGCTTCCCTTGGCACGCACGTGCTCTCATTGTATTCATTTGGTGCTTGTCCCAAGAGCTTACGCAGCAAAGAATGACTCCTTTTCTGGCATTTTTCTAATTGATCCATGGCAGCCCAGGCTGTGGTCTTGCTGTTTTCATATCTTGAATAATTCATAAACAGTTCTGTCTGAGGGACTTCATCTCTTGTACTCACTTAAAAAAAAACAAAAAACCCAAGATACAGAAAGTTGTGTTTCGCAGATGAGCTGTTCTTTATCTATAAACATGATGCCTCGCGTTCACTCGCGCAAGAAATCATCTTGCTGTATGGATGCAACAGAGAAAACGAATGTATGCATACGTTGGGCTAACACTTACAGGGTGTTTCTGTTTCAAAATAGTTTAAAGTCAGACTAGCTACAGCACACATGTAACGTCAACGGCACCTGGACTGTGTAAGAGATTTTCATCGTATGGAAGCTTGAAGTTATTACTCGCCATTAACGACAGAGTTGGCATCTCTCTCTGTAAAGCTAATGTTGTGAAACATGTTAGCTTTGAGAGCTATTCTCAATCAGGAAGACAGTTATTAGAGCTATTAAAATCACCATCCACTTTACATAATGAAGGCAATTAGCCACAGCTACCTTGGCTGGAAAGCATATGACAATTACCACCCACAGAGAGGAGATGGAAAATAGGTCACTCTGTCTGGCCGTTTGCAAACTCCCACGCACTTTGTGCAGGAAATACGGATGCTTTTTGCGTGTTTTCACCAGTTGACTGAAGTTTTTTTTCTTTCTCTCTCTGTTAGGAATTCTGCTCCAAGAGAGTTTCATGGAGGAGCCCGATGGCCTCGTGTCCGTAAACCTCTTAGTGGTGTCTGCTGTTTCAGCTTTTGCAACAGGAGCCGTCCTTTCTGGTCTCACCGTCTGCTGGATCATGAGTCACCGGCACCGCCACTCTCGCGGCTCCGGAGCCGGCGGCGCCCGGCGCAAAGGCGACAAAGAGCAAAGCATGCTGGGACAAGGCCGCAGCGGGTCGGTGATGAGCGTGACGAGAACCAGCGGCGGGGAGCGGCGCTGTTCACAGGCGGACAACCCCTTCGTCACGCCCAACGGCTGGCCTAAAGGAGAGATGGACCCCGGCTTGCTGCCCACGCCCGAGCAGACCCCCCTGCAGCAGAAACGGGGTGTACGTCTCCCGGACACCGAGTGGGACCAGAGTCAGACCTTCCTCACTGCCGTTGGGACTCCCTGCCCTAACAACTCCGTCATCTACCTGAGCTCCAAGTTCCTGCACGGTGGTGGAGGCGGCGGTGGTATGGTCCGGATAGATGACCCAGGAGAGGTGGTGCTGCCTCCACACACAGAACGCCATCGCTACCTGATCCTCGCCACGCAGAGAGGGGAGCACGGTAGCAATCGCCCCACCGGTGCGCTAAGGAACTCAGCAGGAGAATACATCTACCCTGCCACGCCGCAGGACTCCCCCGACCGACGGAGGGTGGTGTCCGCTCCCACTCCCCACATGGACTACGGGGAGCCTCGCTGGAGTCATGAGGCGCTCAACTACAACAGCAACAATGGCGCACCCTATCACCCTCAGCGCCAGGGCCTCATCAGGCCAGACATGCACGGGCCCCGAGGGCTGGGAGAACTGGCTGACTTCAGCCATCTTCTAGGAAAGAGCGTGGGCGAGCGCAACCCCAGTGGCCAGTGAGGCGACGCAGACGAGCCCTGACGCCAACCCCTTCCCTCCAACAGCAAACTGGAATCAAACAACCCTCAGATTCACTGTCCCGGTCCAACCTTACCCTGTCTGTCCTCTCTCACTGTCATTCAATGTTCAGACATCACTCAGCTGACTAAAGAGAGGGACAAAGAGAGAGAGCTGACAAAGAGGAGACAACTCTCTGTACATCTCCGTTCCTCCGTTCGTAATCCGAGGTGCACGCCTCGGCTCTGTTGGTGGATCCAACCGCAGAGCGTGACTTTGACTCCACGGGACGACCGGCGAGCTAAAAAGAGGGGTGCGGAGAACGAAGGCTCTTCATAGAAGGACAGTGTGGAGATTAAAAAAACAAACAAATAAAATGACAATTTGGCTTGCAGCACCAAATGTGAAAGGTCTCCCTCCACCATTCTGTTCACTGTTTTAACACCACGGATCTTCTTTAAGTGTGAAATCACGTTTCTGCTTTGGTTTGTTGATGCCGGTGGCGTCCAGCAGACAACCATGTGCTTTTCTTTGGACTCGAACTGATGTCGCTGTCAAAGGGCCGCGACTCTCAGCCAATCACGCTGTGTGTATGTGCGAATACGTGTGGCCACGACAACCCCAGCCAGCGTCCTGTCTTAACTGTGAAGTACACCTGTATAATGACGATGGTAATAACATTGTTTTCTTTTTATAACCAATCACAGAGAGACAGACGGATTTTTATCAAGTGTCTACTTGAGGCTCTTTGTGTTCACCAATCGGAGGTTTGGATGGTTGGTTGATCGGTGGCTAGTGAGGAGGTCGGACTCGCTCTGTGAAAGTAAAAAAAAAGAGCAATAATGAGCAAGATATATATAAGGATAAAGATAAAGCCAATTTAATTTGATATTTTTATATCAGCATTTTCTCAGCAAGGAAAACCGAAGCTTCGAGACGTCGGAAAGGCTCTGGGAAAAAGGAACAGTATCTCCACTCCACCCCCCTCCCTTGCTGCCTCTCAGTATGCCTGGGTCTGTCTGACCTGACCCGAGGCCTCCCCGGGCTCCGCAGTTCATTTGAAGGAGGGAATGTGAGCTCTGACTGTCTGCCCGGCCGCTTGGGAGCTCCATTCAGCCTCTTCTGTCCGACACTGAGACTCTTTGTGCCCCAGAGGCGGGAGGAGACTGCGGCAACAAATAACCGTTAAGAGTCAAGGACCTAGCCCACCGACATAGCCCGGCGGAATATCAATGAGGAGGACAGCAGCTCCATCCGTCACGAGAGACACAGCGACTGGGCCCGGGCATCTCTCGCGCCTCATGCACACTAGCGATTCACTGGTTTGCCGGGACAGGGAGGAGCTGAGGGGCTGAAGCTGGGGCTGAGGCCAGAGTAGGGGCACTGCTCGCTGTTCACAATGGTCATCCCTTGTGGCTCTGTCCCTTTCTTGCTCTCAGTGTGTTTCCCAACAATAGCAGGATAAAGAAAACAGACGGGCATGGGTATATTGGGGTGTGGAGTTACTCTTTCACTGCGTTGTCTGATCTTTTGATGTTTCCTATTTTCATCAGCTCTCATCTGTCCTCGATTCAAACGTAGATAGCTTCATCTGGGTCATACGTTCGTAAAGGTGGTGTTTTTATGAGTGTGTGAGTCTCTTAGGGCTTGTATACATGAATGTGTTACTCATATTGAGTGCAACAAAACAGCTCATTCTCGCCCTGCTTTTCTTTTCTCTGTTGAACCATTAATGACCGTCTAACACTCACAAATGCATGTTAACAATGTCAGAGCCCTGCGTGGGAGCGCTGTATGCTATAGAATACGTTTAAACCATTATACCGCGCACAAAGAAGCGAGTTAAAATGGACGAGCTAGGTTTTCCGCTTTAAATTATAGATGCTATCAACATACACAAGACACACATCTTTTGGTCCTGACACCAAACGACCCTTTTTCTATTCAGATCAGTGGTTTTTCCATCAAAGCGGGACGCATGCCCGCCCAGAAACTTTAAGCTACCTTATAGGACCTCCAGGGTTACAACAGCTCGTCATTGGGGCAGTACTCTCTGATGTACTGTCATTGTGCCCTGGAGGTTTGTAGCTTACAGAGACCAGTCCAGCACCTCAGTTTCATACCTTAATGCAGCAGTCCAATAAAACTATTAATCAACACGAATGTCTTTGAACTGTGGAAGAAGCTGCAGCACCTGGAGAGAAACCCACACAGGCACAGGAAGAACAAGCACGCAAGCTAGATCCAAAAAATGCTTTTCATTTCACTTTGATTTAACAGTTTGGTATTTCTTATATTAAACTCCAGAAGAGAAGGTCCTGTGATTAGACCCGAGGAGGTAGACTGCACTTGTGGAGACAGAAAAGCTTTTTCTTTGTACCCACACCTTTCAGCTCTCTGAGGATTTATGGCACCATTTCCAAAGATTTTCAGTTTGTTTTCTGCCTTAAAACCTTCGATCGATCTCACTGCAGGGGTCGTTTGCATGTTCTGACTGTGCCTTACTCCAGGTTCTCTGGCTTTTTCTCAAATGCATATGTTTTAGTTTGACTGGTGATTCTAGTGTGTCTGTGACTGTTTGTCTGCCTGTGTGCGTGAGCCCAGCCTCTCACCTGAAGTCAGCTCCATTCTCACGTCTGGTATCGTACATCGTCAGTTTCTGCTGCAGCTTCTTGCATTTTTTCACCTTTTTTCTTTTACAAAATAAGTAATAAACTTAGTTCGAGCGCATAGAAACACATGCAGGCATATTTTGAACAAGAACCGTGTGATCCAAGAAGCGTAAACAGAAGCATAAATCTGACCCGACACTCGATACCACCTGACAGTGTTCAGCTCCGCAGACACATTTCTGTTGAGGTTTAATACCCAGCCCTAACAAATGTACAGCCAGGCTTGACGTAATATATGAGACAGGCCAGTGAAAGAGATTTACGAAGACAAGGACAGAGGAGGAGGTCAAGCAGGCAAACGTGATGTTACTGCATTACCGCCTCGCCACCACATTAAAGCAGTGTATTCTTTACACATTCCACCCTGAAACAGGTCATTAGTACTGAGGATAGGAAGCTCTCCACCAGCCAGGACGCCGCTCGTCTCTCTCCCACCGCCGGGTCTGCGTGTGTGTGCCCACGAGGCCTCTCTGTCTCGCTCGGCGTGCCCAGCGAGGCGTCTCCTCGCTCCGCATCTCCTCCGGTTTTTTCGCTAAACATGCTTGATTAGGCAAAGTACATTCCCGGCCCTCTAATGGCCTGATGAGCCCCTGAGAAGATTACTGCAGACACATCAGCCCTGAGAGGGAGGCGCTGTTCAACCAGCTCCGCTAACCACCAGCAGATCACACACACACACACACTCGCGTGCAAACGCACAAAAAGGACCTTTAACCAAATTTGGGGCACAATTGAATTAGGATCCGCTCTGACTGGTGTACATGTTACTTTACTGACTGCATAATTTGATTACCTTAGTTCAACATTACACCGGAGCTAAAAAATTCACGTGGACCTCATGAGTGCTCTGTTTATTAAAGCCATCATCCTCCCCTTTCTTTGCATACTTCATGTCATTCCCGTTCCTCCTCACCGAGCAGCTGCACTTCTTCTCCTTTTCTTTAAACCCTTTGATTGTTAGCAGACTCTGCCAGCCCAGCTCTCATTGCACTTGTCACTATTAAAGGTTAGCTGGTTAATTTAATGATTCAGTAACAGAAACAGAAATCAAAGTACCCTCCACTTTATTTCACATTAAATCCTTGATGCGTAACAGTTTTTAGACATTTCCGTAAGCTCTCATGTGGCAAATTGCTTTCTTTTTCCTATAAGGGCTTTTGTTTTGTTTTATTTAAATGTAGCGTATACTGCCTCCAGTCCTGCAAACACACACACACACACACATTCTTCCTCTTTATCTCTGCTCTGCACGAATCAACACACACATAAAATTTCCATCTCTGTCTTTGTGACCCAGCCAGTCTGTGATTTTATTTATTAAGATGTGTGTGCGCGCACTCGCTGAAGAGACCATACCTTTGTGTGTTGGGGTTGTTTGTGCCGTGTGGCCCAGTCACGTGATGCCCCCCAGCCAGTAACTGCCATTTTGCCCCACGGTGCTCCAGTGCGCTGTCCGTGCTTTATGCCCCAGAAAAGGTCCAGGAAGGAGGCTAACTCGCTTGAAATCCAGCGATGCACGGGGATGTGGTGAAACGAGACTGCACCTCCTCGGCCAACATGCGAGAAGAAAAAGCACAAACGGCAAAAACAAAATCAACGTTTGCATTTTTGTAAAGTTGTAGATGTATTTAGTCGGCGCTGACCATTTTTGTCATGTTTGCTTTTTTCTATTGTTTGTTTCTGTGGTAGATACTTGGTTTTAAGATTTCTATGGAATATTACTGTATATGATTTCAATTCTCTGATGTGCCCGATTTGATGATGACAATGAACCCGATGACTATCATGACGAGCAGTACTGTGAGCAGCACCCAGGTGTTGCGTCCTGTTTGGATCTGAATGTGAATGTGAATCGGAAGAAGAAGAGGAGGCAGAGCGAATTAACCACAAAGACCGAGCTTTGGGAGGAGGCCGTTCTCCTCCAAAGCGAAGGAGTCCTGCAGCTCTCACCGGAGACCGGCCCGAGGCCTCGGGGGCGGGCTGTCATCGGATGACAACACATGTCCCTGCTACGTGTACATAACCTTGATGCTTACATGTAATTTAAGTGCAGTAGCTGCATGACGGCAAAGCCTCCGTGTGTGTACAGAAGTAGCGACGTGTGAATTTGTACAGTACATGCAAGTGTGTGTGCGCTTGTGTCCGCGAAGAAACCTGTCCGTCGTCACGCCAAAAGCAACACGTGCATGCACCCTACGACAACTGCGCAGGACACACAAACACAAAGGCCACACTCATACGACCACACAGACATGCTCCAGCAGTTGTTCGCCATGTCGCCACATTGTCCCGAGCTCTGCCTGTCACTCCGCATGGAGACTTTACTCTGTGTCAACTTTCTTATTCTAATAAACCACTCAGACATGGACTTCACATCGAGTTGTGATCATTGATTACGGCGTTCTAATTATTTTCGCTCCATCGCTGATCATATTTGCTTACATAAAAACAAAAAGCCTGATACCCCGATACAAGGAAAAAGTGTTTTTAGAGCATGTATACGATGCAGTGTGTTGTGTATATGAAACAAAGCGAGCTGATAGCAGCAGCTGTCACAATAATGTAGTGAAAGTAGAGAAGTAGTCGAGGGTAAAACTGAACCAGAGCGGATGCATTTAATTAGATTCCACAGCTGGAGTCACATTTCTGCGCTAATATTATTTTTTTAATCGCACACACTGTCAGCACAAACTTTAACAGTGGTACAGTGTTTGACATTATGATGTCATTGCATCAGTGATGACCATGGGAGGCTGTGAAACCTGCGTTTTCCTACATGGGTGTTTTATCTGAGGAAAAAAAGAGAAAAACACCAGCTCATTTTGGATTTGACGGAGAAAATGTTTGATGTCTAAAAAAACGACTACATCTTTTAACTACAGTCCTTAAACGTGTGAGCTGAGGCGAGCGGCTGCTGGACTTTTGGGACAGGAAGGATGCCTCGTTCTTGTCTCATGTGTCTCACAGCACAATGTCTTTATTTCTCATGATAAATGTACTCTCCTGTTCCCCAAACATATCTGCAAACTGTGTGTTTTTCTTTCTTTGCGTTTGAAACTGATCAAATATTTAATACCCTGATTCCTCCTTTTGAAGTGTTATCACGATCTCGCTGAAAGCGGACTGGTTGCTTTTATAAGCAGACAGTTAGGAACAGATCAGGCACACAGTTCATTTATTCATGGTGAAGTAATAACTCCATCCAGCACTTCATTTGGGCAGTTATCCAACCCCTTCAGCTAAAACCTGGGCAAGGTCATATTATTCCAGTTTGCACTTTAGAGCCATCATTACTTTAGTTTCACCCCTTTCAGCTTACTAATTCAGCCTAATTTTACATGTTTAATGGGGACATTTATTTTGTTTTTAATCGGATGATTTGTTCAAATGATAGTAATATATCCATCCATCCATGTCCTTCCTGTCACGGATTGCCGGGGCAAGCCGTGTGGAATGTAGGAAGGACCCAAAAGGCAGCAGCTCTGGTGCAGGTGAGTGTTTATTAACAGGGGTGGGTAAGTACAAACAGCGGTGGCGACAAAACATGAAACTGGAAACCTAAACTGGGTAAACTAATAAGACAAACCAGAACGAGGATGCAGGGAGGTCCGGAGAAATACATATGGGGAGACCAAGGGGAAACAACACAGACGAACCAGCAATTACTAAGACAGAAAATACAACTTAAATACACTCAGAGAACACAGGGAGATTACACACAGGTGGGAAACACAGCTGGGAGTGATTAACATAACGAGACTAGGGAGGCAAACTGAAAACACTCACATAAGACGCAGACCTTCACAATAAAACAGGAACACACGGGCAGAACAGAGTAAACACTAAACAAAGGAAGAACAGAACCAAAATCGAAGAGAAAACACAAAATGCTGGGTCAAAAGGACCCAGGATCATGACACTTCCACTTATTTCAGGATAGCAGGGGGGCTGGAGCCTGTCCCAGCTGTCACAGGCTGAGAGGCAGAACAGGCTGTGGACGAGCAAGTCAGCACAGGACCTCACGAAGAAACGCAGTCAGAGGATAACCGATTCACTCGCTGTAAAGAAGTAACGCTGAAGATCTGACTGTGTTGTCACGCAACGTGACGAATGAAACGGAAACACGAGCTTTGAGAAACGATGATAAATTATAAATAAGTCATTCACTGGTTGAGAGAATTTCCTCGTGTCTTGAGAAGGAAAAACGAAAGCCTGAAAATCGAAGCTGACACAGATTGAGATCCATTGTTTTTTCTCTACTGCACAACAGCCCAAAGCTGCAGTGAGCAGTCGTTGTAGTGTCATCACTCTTTGTTAGAGGGTGCTACTGCTCCATTACATTCACTGTTATTGTTTCATTAAATGCCAAAACCCAGAGGCCAAACGGCATCTTTATATTCAGTAAAGCAATCATAAAAGGGTGTAAATCCATGAAATCCACGTCATTTACCTGTCACTTCATATTGCTCGGTGTAGACAGAGTTTACCTTCCACCTCTCCTCCTTCCCTCCCCCTGCTCCTCACTGGGCTATGCCTCCACTCTTCTACCTCCCTCCTTCCTCCCCATCTAGTTCTCCATCTCCCTGGGGAGCCTATCAGGCCATTTCACATCTGTTGAGTGGTGCAGGGCAGCGAGGACCTGTCAGGGACTCTCATTCGCTGATGGTTTATGGGAGTGAAGCCCTCCAGTGCTGCAGTACTCAAATGATGGAATGTGCCGGTGTCTCACACTGTGTGTGCAATCCCACATTTGTGGCATCCTTGTCCGCCGTCCTCTGCGGATCAAAACCGACTGCATTTGCCAGCTTTGGGATAATTTACAACGTGTTTGCAGCCGCTCCGTGCTCTATCAGATCTATGAAAACACACAAGCATGTGTGCATGGCCTATCTATCTACACACACACACACTCATTATGATGAATCTGATTAATGAAGAGGCTGAAACAGTGCCAGTGGGTACTCTTCTTGATTTGACTGCCTTCTACAGCTGAGCTCCACACTGTGCCAGCTCTCATTCCTCTCAGCATCTTTGTTTTCCAAATACTCACATTTTCTCTGACACCACTGAAAATGAAAAATATTCACACTTTTACACACACTTTGGGCTTGATGTGAATTGCATGAAAATCAAGTGCAATAATACGCTGTGTGTGTGTGCGGGCAAAGAAATCAAGGTGCTTTTTCCTGGTGAGTAGAGACACTGATGCACAGGCACAAGAAATGAGCTCACTAACTGAAATGTTCACACTGTTCTGGCCAGGCAACGAACGGAAAATGAGCGATAGAACGATTCGGGGCAGATGAGCGAGCAGGTCGACAGCTGAATGCATTTACATTTCGTGCAGACCCTTGCTGTGGAGATGTGGCTAATGAGATAACCCAACTGTGCGCTCATTCAATTGTCTGCAACTCTGCTTATGCCCCTGATGATATTTCCCACACCAAAACATTCATACCTCATGAAACTCTTAATTGCTGTTAAAATCTCTAATAATTGTTCAATCAGAGCAATGTTTTTGTGCATGGCTGCTGGCTATGACTCAACACCAGCCCTGCTGACTCTAATGAGTCTACTACTGTGCCATATGCAGTACACAGAGAGTGTGCTGCATTGTTAGAGAAGAACAGTTTTTCCCTCAATCCGAAGAAAAATTGGCAATTGCAATAACAATTCTGACCATCGGAGGGCGGTGTAAGCTGCTGGGAAAAAAACCACCCAAACCCCGATCCCAAAGAGTAAATTGAATTATTCCCTTTACGTCCATTTGAGTCCTCCAGCTTTAATAACTAACTGCTACCATGTGTTGTTTTTCACATTTTATCGTGAAATGTTTTAAATATTTTAATCTCAGTGCCTAGAATGTAATTGCTTGGAATTATGTGATGAAATGAGAAAAGCACAGCAATACAAGGCACATAATGAAATTAAAACCATAAGGGAATAAAATGAACAATCAAAAGGAAGTGAAGGTAGATGAGTAGACAGCCAGGGCCATAAAGTCTAATTTGGGAGTTTGAGTGGGAGCAGAGAGCCCCCAGGTGGCCATCCGTGGAAGCTCAAACAGGAAGGAGAGAGTTTGTGACTCATTACTGTTTTGATTGGAAAGGATGGGTCGTGCTCGGTTTCTGCGAAGAACTGTGTGGCTTCACAGATAAAAGATGTTACACTGGAAGGGACTTGTGTTTCAGCATATTAGGATGTCTTGAGTCACCTATTATTATCTCTTGTAATCTTTAAAAGTGGTTCTCCAGTTTCCTGAAGGTCTTACAGACTTTTTGTGGGGATGTTGGCTGCTTTGACACATTTTCAGTCCAGTCTTGTGCCTGAATCTTTTTCTGCTCTTTGTTTGTTAAGCCACTCAACGCTGATCTATGAATTATTCAAGCATAAAACAATGCACCTATTAGAGAGATGAATCAGTGTGATTCTATATATAACAGAAAACTTACCAAAGGACCAATTTTAGGTTTGGCAGCCTGTCACAAAACATATGCTTTCTTCTCACAGTTGAAACTATGAATAATGCTGCAGATTGCACAGTTTGACCCACAGAAAATAGTATTTGTCCCAACAAGATGATTCCCAAACAGCTAATAGTTGAAAACTTAGCATGCCAACTAATGTGACCTTAAAAACTTTTCAGGAAACTGGACAAACAGAAGACAAAGGAAAAGTAGCAGACATCAGATAAACAGTATCTGAAAGTCATGTCCTTGAAGAACAGTGAACAGTGAAAAGTCCAGCCTGACACAGGACCTTCAGCTGATCATTTATTTACTGTTCATTTATTTATACAGGGCCAGATCACAATATCAGTCTCCTCGAGGCGCTTTATATTGTAAGGTAGACCCTACAATAACACATACAGAGAAAAACCCAACAATGATACGACCCCTATGAGGAAGCACTTTGGCGACAGTGGGAAGGAAAAACTCCCTTTTAACAGGAAGAAACCTCCGGCAGAACCAGGCTCAGGGAGGGGCGACAATCCGCCGCGACCGGATGGGTGAGAGAAGGAAGACAGGGCAAAGACATGTTGTTGAAGAGAGCCAGAGATTAATAGTATGTATGATTCAGTGCAGAGAGGTGAGTAAAAGGCTCCATCATGGTTGCATCTGATTGGCAGCAGTTTCATTTTTCAGAATGACAATGATCCCAAACACACTGCCAGCGCAGTGAAAGCCCATCCATACACTATCAGTCATGGATGGGCCTCCCCAGAGACCGGACCTCAGCATTACTGAAGCAGTGTGGGAACATCCTGAGGCAGAAACATCCAAACAAGAGCTTTGAATGTTCTTTAGGAAGCTGGAGAACTATTCCTGAAGATCCTCACAGAGATGACAGACAGCTGCTCAGAGTTCACACTG